AAAAAAATATATTTTATTTATTTTAGGTAACTGGTATTAAAATTGGACCACAAGTGGGTAATCCTAGTGGAGCTCCTGCTCGTCCGAATCCAGGTGAAAAAGCAAGCGGTGGATGTTGTTAAACAAATTCATTTTTTAATCAGATTCTAGCAACATCATCAATTGTCGTTTTTCTTTGTTTTTTTTTGTGCGTGTGTATTTATGCTTTGATGTTGTATTTTGTTTTTATTGTTGTTCGTGTCTTTTTAAGAAGAAATATATCATTTAATATAAAAAAAAAAAACGTTTTTTTTTTCTTTTATTTGGATCAATAAAGAAATATTTGGTGTCTTTTTTCTGTTGAAATGCGTTTTGAAAACATGGGATTTGAAAAAAAAAATTTTTATTTGTATATAATTCAGCTTGTCTTTTTCTTTCGTAAAAAATATAAAAGGATAGGTTTAATTAGAATTATTCGTTATTGAAATGTTCAACTATTTTTTAATGAACATTTTCTTTTTCTCTCTCTTTTTATTTACATAAATGATACGTTTTCTTTTTCTTTTCTCTTCTTGTTCTTTGTTGTCTGAACTAATTTTCTTTTCTTTTTCTGCTGTATGTTTGTGTGTGTGCGTATGTGTGTATGTAAAACAAAAGAAAAAAAAAAGTTTTGAGACGAATAAAAAAAAATTTGAAATCATTGAATGTTGTGTGTATACAGAAAGATATTTATGAATAAGAATAATATTTTTCTTTTAGAAGGATTTGATAATGACTGATTTAGTTGATGAAGTACAATTAAGAACGGTAACCAATTTTCTATAAATAATGTGTTAATTTAGGTAATTATCATATAATTATTTTAGGCAGAAGAAGCTAAGACTGTTTCTGCTTTCAAGGTAAGAAAAAAATATATTTAATTGAACATATAGATCAATAGGTAGTTGATTGTTTGGTTACCATAGTGAATTTTAATACTATATGTGTGAATGTATGACTCATTCTGTTCTTCAACTAAAGTAATATTTTTAAAAGTTAGACAATTTCTTTTTTCAATTATATATCTTAAAATAAAAAATATAGAAGTGTGTTATATCATGCATTAAAAACTCTCATTCGTGTGTACTTACGATGATATACAGTAGCAAATAATTATATATTTATTCGTTCTTTACAATTGATTTATTTTCTGCATTATAAAATAGAAAAATAAATAAGTAATTTCTTTTTCTTTCCAGGTGATTTTAATAGTATCAATTATTTGAAAATCGAGAAGGTTTATTAGAGATTTTTTTATCATAGTCTGTATCTCATTACATTTATTATAATAACCTTTCATTATGATATTTGAAAAGAATAATTGGATGTAGAGAAATTCCGTCAAGAATAATTAAGTAAAAAAAACACATAGTGTTATGAATAATACAACCAATAAGGAATTCAGTCCTCCTGCTGAGATATGATAATAACACAAAAAGAAACATAGTATAATTTAACTGAAATT